TTTGTCTTTCCATATATATATATATATATATCTTAGAATAATCTTAACTATGTCTACAAAACCCTCCTGGGATTTTGATGAGAATTGTATTAAACATGTATATCAACTTGAAGAGAATTGACATCTTTGCTACATTGTGTCTTTCAGCTCAGGAACACAATAAGTCTGCTCATTTGGATTTTCCTTGATTTCTCTTAGCAGCGTCACAAAGTCCCCAACATACAGATTCTGTACATGTCTCGTTAGGTTTACACTGAAGTGTTCCACTGCTTTGGGAGTGATTATAAATGGTGTAAGATATATATTTATAACAGAGAGCAGAGGGTGAGAGAGAGAGAATCTTAAGCAGGCTCCATGCTTAGTGTGGAGCCCGATGCAGGGCTCCCCCACCACCACCCTGGGATCACGACCTGAGACGAGATCAAGAGTTGGACGTTCAACCAACTGAGCCCCCCAGGTGCCCGCAAATGGTGCTGTTGTTTAATTTCAGTGTCCTCCTGTGCATTGCTAGTATGTAGAAATGTAATTGATTTTTGTATGTTTATCTTATATCCTGCCACCTTGGTGATCTCATTAAGTCTAGATTTTATTTCTGTAGATTCCTTAAGGTCTTCTACATAAATAATTCTGCCACCTGCAAATAGAGATACTTTTATTTCTTCCTTTAAGATCTGTTATGTCTTTTACTACCTTTTCTTGTCTTCTTGCCCTGGCTAGATTCCTATGCTCTGATGAATAAGAGGGTTGGGAGCAGGTATCCTTGCCATGTTCCTGATCATTCACCATCCATTCATCACCGATGAAAGTGTTCATCCTTCCCCAGTAAGTACTGTGCTAATTCCAAGTTTTATGTAGATGCCTTTATCAAGTTGAAGAAGCTCTCTCTGTTCCTATGTTCCAAGTTTTTTCAAAAGTCATGAATGAGGGGCACCTGGGTGGCTCAGTCAGTTGAGCATCCGACTTTGGCTCAGGTCATGATCTCACGGTTCGTGGGTTCAAGCCCCACATCGGGCTCTGTGCTGACAGCTCAGAGCCTGGAGCCTGCTTCCGATTCTGTCTCCTTCTCTCTCTGCCCCTTCTCTGCTTACACTCTGTCTCTGTCAAAAAGAAACATTAAAAACAAAGACCAAAAAGAAAAAAGAAAAATCACGAATGAATGCTGAATTTTGTCAGATGCTTCTTCTACATTAATCGATGTGATCATATGATTTTTTCTAGTTAGCCTACTAATACAGTGGGTTACACTGATTGGTTTTCAAGTGCTGAATGAGCCCTGCATCTGTGGCATAAATCCCACTTTGTTATGGTGTATAATTCTCGTTTTATATTGCTGAACTCTGTTAACATTTTGTTAAGGATTGTTGCATCTATATTGATAAGAGACATTAGGCTGTAGTTTTCCTTTTTAAAAAAAATATTTGTGTGGTTTTGGTATCAGAGCAATATTAGCTTCATAAAATGAATTGGAAAATATTCTTTCCTTTTATTTTCTGCGAGAGATTTTGTGGCATTCATACTAATTCCTCGTTAAAAATTTAGTGTAATTCTCCTGTGAAACCGTCTGGGCCTGGAAATGTCTCTTTGTGGAATTTTAAAATTAGGAATTCAATTTTCTCAGTCAGTGTCGGCTGTTCAAAGTGTCTAGTTCATATCGGGTGAGATGTGGTGGTTTGCGTTTTTCAAGGACTTGGTCCATTTCATCTACGTTGACAAATCTATGTATATAGAGGTGTTCCTAGGACTCCCTTATTATCCTCCGATGCCTGCAGCGGCTGTGATGATCCCTGCCTTCACATTCCTGAGTTAAAATGTGTATCTTCGCTCCTTCCTACTCCGTCAGTCATGCTAGATGTTTCCTTGCCAGTGTTATGCTTTTCCTTTCTTATCATCGTCTTACTGCACTAAGGCATTCAGCATGAAGTCGAACGGGGAAACTGGCAGCGGACGACCGTACTTACTGTCACTCGAAGGGGGAAAGCAGTTGTCTCTTACCATCAAGAATGATGATAGCTGGTTACATTGCTTTGTGCCATTTTATTTTGTTTGTTTTGTTAATTATCAGTTTAGGGTTGCTCCCTTCCAGTCCTCTGTTCAGTTGCGTTTCTGGCTTCCTAGCTGAGTGACTCCTGGCCTATAGATGGAGAAGGGGGTGATGTGCGTGCCTTTCGGGGTGCAGCATTGCATGGACGGTCTGAGGTCTGTGTTTTCCCTCTAGCGTGGTGACCAGCAACCTCCTGGGGGTGGCTGTTTGATCACCTGGATCCTTGAGTGGCCATGAGGTACAATATCCTTGCTAAGCTGTGAAGGAAATTGCACGTAAACAAGAAATAAATCTGATGTTTTAAGCCACTGAGATTTTAAGTTCGTGTGTTAATGCAGCATAAACCAGCTTATGCTGAATGACATTCTTGATATGTGAGAAGTTTGCCTCACGAAGGGGATGCGATATTTTTGAAATATATATATATATATTTTTTAATGTTTATTTTTGAGACAGAAGGAGACAGCAAGAGCAGAGGAGGGGCAGAGAGAGAGGGAGACAGAATCTGAAGAAGCTCCAGTCTCTAGGCTGTCAGCACAGAGCCCGACGCGAAGATCGAGCTCACAAGCTGTGAGATCATGACCTGAGCCGAAGTTGGACGCTTAACTGACTGAGCCCCCCAGGCGATCCAGAATATATTTTTAAAAAATCAATTAAAGGTGCTTATCCAGGCATTTTACCCTTAATCTCTTAGCTAGTGAATTTTTGATGTTTCCTAACATGGAAATGTCCTTGACTCTCTGAGTTAAATCATTATGTATGGAATTCATTGTTAGATTCAGCCTGCTAATAAATGATTCAGATATTGGTGTCTTTACTGCAAAAAGCGATGCTTATCCGCTTGTTTCTGCTCTTACTACTCCTCCTCCACCTTTGTTATGTGAAAGTCCAGCAACTTCCCATCGACACCGACACCCCAGAATGTATGATCCAGGTACCATCTGATAGCAGTTTGGTCGTTCTCACCCATAGGTTCAGAAGATTTAAAACTGTTTTTTTATTTTCCATAGTTGTTGTTCTTTTAACGTTTTCTTTTTTAAAATATTAACCTAGAAATGTCATGCAACCCAGCAATTCCACTTGTAGGTATTTGCTTGAAGAAAATGAAAACACTAATTCCAAAGATACCTGTACCCCGTGATCATTGCAGCGTTATTCACGATGGCCAAGATACGGCCACCACCCAAATGTCCTCCACAGGCGAACAGATAAAGAAGATGTAGTGCCTATGCAACGGAATATCACCTAGCCATTAAAGAATGAAATCTTGCCACTCATGACAGTGTGGATGGACCTAGAGTGTATTATGATAACTGAAAGACAGAGAAAGACAAACACCATTTGATTTCACTTATATGTGGAATCTAAAAAAAACAAATGAACAAACAAACCACAAAGAACAAAGTCATAAATACAGAGAACAAACTGGTGGCTCCAGGTGTGAGGAGCTGGGCAGAATAGGGAAGGAGGTTGAGCAGTACAAACTTCTGGTTATAAAATAAATAAGTCATGGGACGAAAAGTCCAGGGAATACAGTCAATAATCTTGTAATAATTCTGTAGCGAGACAGGCGGCAGCCGCACAGCAGATGGTAAGACTTCTGTAGGGTATACAACTGCCGAATCACTAGGTTGTACCCCTGAACCTAATGTAATCTTGTGTGTCAACTATACCTCAGTTAAATATATTTTACAAATTTTGTTAAAGTTTTCCTGTTAGCCAATATTGGTCATTGACCTTTGTCTAGAAATGTAGCTATTCTATCTATATTCTAAAAACTTGATTATAGTACACAAATTGTTATGTATATATAATATTTATATATAATTTGACAAATATATAAATATATGTGTATATATTGTTATATGTAAAGTGTTTTTGTGATTTAAAAATCCCTTCCTTGGTGGCTCTGTACGTTACATTAAAGTCAGCGGAAGACAAGTTTCCTTTCCACCTCTGGCCGCCTTCGCCCAGACCACGACCCAGGGGAGCTCTCTCTGTCGTGTCACCCAGAATGGATCCATGCACTTATGGGTACATGAAGCTTGATGCCCCAACACTTCCTGAAGTGATTACCCTCATGTTCCCGAGAGACGGCTTGGAGGGTCACAGGCTGCGTTTTTAAAAAATTGTGGAATTTGATCAGAAAGTAACTTATTTAAGGTTTTCTGTCAATATTTATAAATGGCCTGACCAGCGAGTTTTTATTTCTCGTCCCTTGTGAAATTGGGGTACTGCCTGCACCCAGTAATAGCTGGCACGCTGCCGCTGGACCCTCTTATCTCGTTCCTCAGGTTTAAAAGAGCCCCAATCATGTGTGCTGATCCCCAACTGTCACGGGCTGTAGTGCAGAAGCTTGAAACCTGCCTGCACCCCGCCCCGCAGCTCACCCCCCCATCTTTCACCCCCCTTCCCCCCAACCCCTGAGCTCACAAGGCCAGAAGAGACCCAGGCTCTCTGCTTTATTGCTTTATTGCTGGAGGGGGAGAGGCTGGGAGCAGGAGACCCGGGCTGGGCCCGGGGAGCCTGGGGGCTGGAGGGGCGGGTCCGGCAGGCCTGGGGCTCGGTCCCTCCTGATTTCTCCCAGGGGGCAGGAAGGGGCGACGCCGTCTCTGGGCCCTGAAACAGACGAGGGCTCCCCTGTGATTCCCGGGGAGCCTGGGGGACCCTCGCCGGCCCCTCCCAGCCCAGGGGTGAGGGACGGTCTCCACCTCACGCTGAGTGCTGGTCACCCCACGCCCTTGCCCAGAGGAGGCCATGGGGACGTCCCCCTGGGGACTTGACATCAGAAAGGCCATTCGAGAGGGCGGACACGCAGCCAGCCTGGCCCCCACGGTCAGCGGGAGGCACGCCAGGTCCCAGCCGTTCCCACAGAGGGGCCGGGGCCCGACGGAGGGGAGCTGGGGTCCCCGGGACGCCCCCCACCCGTGCATGTGCCCAGGACGTGGGGGCAGGGCTGCTACATTACCCCAGGCGGGTGCGGGTCGGGCAGGAGCTCATCTAGACGCGGCACTGCTCTGTGGGTGGAGGGGGGGAGAGGTCACAGGTCGCCAGGGCAGCCCTGGGCCCAGAGGGGGGTGCGGGGGACCCCACCTCACGGGCTCTGCACCCCCACCCCCGGAGGCCTGGGGCATGGGGGCCACTGTGGGAGACAGACGTGTCCAGGGCTCCTGGCTGTCTGACAGGTGAGCCTCACACAGGATGAAAGCAGGGGTGCGGGGTGTGGAGGTGATCACCTTCCACCTGGGTCGGGTCGAAGAAGAGCCGGATGTGCACGGGCAGAGTCTGGAGGGCCCTGTTGAATTTCTCCATGACCTCGTTGTCGGCCTTCAGGGTCCTGGCTGTGGGGGGCATGGGGGTGGGCGGTGGGTCAGTCCCCGGGCTGCAGGGCTTTGGGGACCCTGGGAGCCCCGTCCAGGGAGCGAGTGCAGCAAGGACACACTGGCGTCCTGAGGTCAGCTCCCAGGGTGGCCTCCAGGGCTCAGCCCACCTGCCCTCCGGGGTCCCTGCCCCTCCGGCTGGCGCAGCCGCCCTCCCTTCCAGGACAGCGGGGGCTCTGCAGGGACCGAGGACAGGGCCCACCGCCCCCGGGCCGCTAGGTCTCACCGCAGGGCTGATGTGCGGACCCAGAGCGTGTCTCTAGCCGCACGCAAGGCGCCTGGTTCAGGCAGACCTGCGAGGTCCCAGCCTTCTGCGACCAGATTCACCGGCTCGAGTTTGTTCGGAGCTTGACGGTTTTAGTGGTGCTTCTGTGGACCGTCGCCACCAACCAAAGCTGCTAATTAGGATCAGTCTAACTAGAAATCTAACTAATCTGATTGCTAGTAATTGAACCAGTCACACTAAGCCCGGCCCCTTGACCTGGATCCTTTATCCCCGATTTCCGATGCGACGTCAGGGGGCTTCGCCAGCGCTGGGGACAGCCTCGCCCCCCAAGGCCCTGAGGCGACGGGCCTCTGGCTGCCTGCTGCCCGGGTGCCCCGGCCCGGGGTCCTCAGCCACCCCCCGCAGGCGGGCCCCGCGTCGTCAGCGGCGTACTGAGGCACTGGCACGCGAGGCTCTCCCCGGGGGCATCGGTGTTCTCCACGCAGAAGAACAGGTAGTTCTCGTAGTCGGTGTCCAGCACGGAGACCTGGTTCTCGTCCACATCTGGGGGGAGGGGCCAAAAAGGGGCAGGTGTACTTCCGGGGTGTTCTCTGCAGCCGAGGGAGGGAGAGCATGGGCTCCTCTGTGGCGACCACCTGGCTGGGCTGGGGTGGAAGTCCTGCACCCCAACAGGGCACCACCGGCTGTTAACTGTGGACGCCCCCCAGAAATGCTGTGCCGCCTGCTAGATGGGCCCACTCAGGACTCAATCCCAGACCCCCCACCCCCGTGTCCTGGGACCCAGAGCGGCTAAGAAATGGGTTTCCACGCTGATATTGAGTGAATGGGCACCTCAGAGAAGAGGACCCTCCAGGAAGAGGGTCAGTGTGAGGGGGCGGAGCTGTGGGTCGCCACGGAAACGGGGAGGGGGGAGTACGGGCTGGCCGTGATGGGGGCCCTCAGAGATACGGGGACTGCCAGCCCGTCCCAACCCCAGGACAGCCCACGGCGCTGGGGCCACTCAGGGCCGTCCCATGTAGCCTCCGGTCAAAGCCAGGCTCGAGGGCTAGTGTAGGGCGGCAAAGCAGGACACAGCCCTGGCTGCCCCCACCCCCCACCGCACCCCACATCCCCCCACACCCCTGCCATGGGGGCAGCCATGGAGGAAGTTGTCCCTCCTCGGGCCGTCTCATCTTGGATCTCGTGAGGAATGTGGGAGTGAACACAGGAGGGTCTAGGAGGGCAGGGCCCAGGGGACGGCCTGGCGTCGTGGGGCGTCCTGACAGCTGGGGAGCAGACGGGGGGCAGTACAGAGGGCGGTGGGTACAGATGCCCACAGACAGCGAGCCTGGTCTCATCACCGTGGGGGTCAGAGAGGCCAGCAGGGACGTGCCCACAGCACTGAAGGCGGGAAGGGCAGTGAGAGCTGGCAATGAGGGTGGTGTCACTATTCTCATGCCCCGGCCCCCTGGGGTGGAGCGCGGACCCTGCAGCACAGCCCCTGAGCCAGCAGTGGGGGCGTCTCGGGGGCCCAGGGACCCAGCACTCACAGTTGATCTTGAAGTCAGCAGGGAGCTCGGTTTTTTCTGCCACCACCTTCTTCTCCACACACCTGCCGTCCTCCCTGAAAAAGGTCATGTCTGCAGGCCGCCTGCGTGGACCTTCCCGTGATAGGACCGAGCCACGGGTGGGGAGCAGAGCCGGGCTCCAGGAGGCCCCAGGCTGGGGCCGTAACCTCTAATCGCTGGCAGGTGACCAGGTGGGACAGGGCCACCCCATCAGAGGACAGAGGGAGCCGGAGCAAGCGTGAGCCACGAGTGCCCTTGCCCTGGCCGTCAGAGGCGATGACCTGCATTCGGCAGACACTTGTGGGGTTTGCATCCTCCTCTCTGCCCCCTACACTGACCCAGCTCTCTCCTGCACCCCCACGACTTCTCCAGGGCAGACAGGGCTCATGGAAGGAACCGCCCAGGCCCCCAGGGCCCAGACCCAGCTGACCGGCCTCCACGGGCCTCTCTGCGCACTGACCTGCACCGCCCTGTGTGGCCGGCCTGTCGGCCCAGAGCCCCCCGCGGGGCCCCAAGGCCAAGGGGGGCCACCCGCACGGAGCCAGCTACCACCAGGACCTTGACCGCCCACCCGCCCTGGGCCCAGGCCCTCGCCGGCCCCCAGCCCGGGGGGAGGGGCACCCACCATTTGCGCAGAACGATCTCCAGGTTGCCCTGGGGGGTGGGTCTCAGCTCCTGGACGTACACTCTCAGAGGCGCGGTCTCCGAGTCCAGGAGGGAGATGTCGCTGGCCGCCATGGCCACAGAGTGCCACGTCCCGGCCACCTGGGGGGGAGGGGCCCGGGCTGCCATCGGGGGTGGGGAGGTGGCCCCCCCACAGTGACCTCTCCCTCCCACCCGGCCCGGGGCCTGGTCTAGCTGGGGTGGCAGCCAGTGAGCTCCGGGCGACCCCTGCCACCGGCCGGACGCCCCCCTACGGAGCCTCCACGCGTGAAACAGCAGCCGAGTTTCGCAGGCGGCTTTGACCGTGCGCGTTCCCCAGAGCCACGCGCATCTTGGGAAACTGAGGGAAAGCCGCCCTGAAGACGGGGGCAAGTGGGGGGTTTCCCGACGTCACGGCTTCCGCCGCGCTCTTCAGGCCGAGGCCCCTCTTCCCTGCCCGCCCGCAGCCCCCCCGCCGCACCCCTGCCGTCCTCAGACCTTCTGGAGGTCCAGGTCCTGCACGGTCTGGGCGACGATGGCGGCCCGGCCGCCGCACACGAGGGCCAGGCCCAGGGCGAGCAGGAGGCACTGCATGGCTGCGGCTGCGGCTGCGGCTGCACTGAGCTCCTGGGGTGAGGAAGGCCGGGCCGCGGGCTCGCGCCCTTATACGGGGGCCAGAGGCCTGGGGGCCTGGGGGCCACGTGCTTCCCCGAATCCCCGTGGCTCATCCCCAGGCCCTCAGGGGGCTTCCTCCACCGCACAATGGGAGGCTTTCTTCCCTCGGAGTGAGCGGAACGGAAGGTCCCTGTGTCCCCGGACAGTTCCTGGTAGGCGCGGGGGGGTCCGGGGGGGGTCCAGGCGGGTGGCCAGTATCTGAACACTTCTGGGTCACGATCTTCACAACAACAGGTCAGAGTCAGCACTGAGGACAGCCGTGTCCTGGAGGGTGGGCCCCGGCGCTCAGCCAGCGGCGGGAGGGCCCCATGCCGGCCCACGGTGCTGCAGGTGGCCATCTGTCCCACACAAGGAGCAGATGTCACCAACACCCCTTCACCCTCTCGCCTCCTGCAGGCGCCCCCACCTCCAGGTGCCCGCACGGGCTCGGCTGGCCAAAGCCTCCCCAAAAGGCTGCGATCCTTCTTGGTCTTTCTTCCTTTTGTTTTATTCCCTCATCTCGGGCGTCAGCTCCTCCACGACACGTGGCCACGTCATGGGAGCACGGGGTCCCCTCCTGGTCAACCCCACCCCGCAGGAAGGGGAGGGTGCAGTGGGTTCTGGTGGAGCCCGAGGATGGGCCTGGCCAGCAGAGGGCGCTCTGAGCAGCAGGCGTGATGGGGAACCCACCGGCGGTGGCCTCGGAGGTCGGAGGGGCCAGCCAGCCCACGGTCGGGGTCCCCTCGGGGCGGGGCCCACATGGGGGCAGCCCAGCGGCATCCACGTGGGAACGTGAGCTCGAAAGGCCGCGCTCTGCCAGCCTGAAGCCCTTTCCCGTGGCCCTCGTGCCCGGGCCGCAGCTGTGCAGGTGCAGAGGGGGGCAGAGCAGTTACGGAGACCGAGTCCCGCCGGCTGTGGTGTAAACCAGCGCCGCAGGGGGCGTGCGAGCCCCGTGTGCTGAGCCACGGGGCTGGAAGGCCACCGCCTGACGTTCCAGAAGGTTACGCTGCCCCTCCCTGGGAGGCGGGACTTGGGATGGAGGGTGGGCACGGAGGGGGCAGCCACCTGCACTGCGCCCCCAGCCGGGCGGCCTCGCTCTCCCGATGTGGGTCCAGAGGGACCCCGCCCCCCACGGGTGCCGGCCTTTCCCGGTGAGCCACGTGCAGCAGCAGCAGCGTGGATGGGGGCCGCGGGCTCTGCTCTCTCCTGGAGGGGCCATATGTCCTTGTGCCAGCAAAGCGCCCGCCCCCCAGGCACATGGCCGGTCCCGGCCCCGGGCTCCCGGTTGTAAGGGTGGGGAGAGGCGGTGGCTCAGGTGGCCACGCCGCTGTGGCCCTCATGTGGCAGCTCGCGCAGACCTGCCTCACGGTGTCCACGCCCCCCACTGGGCAGGTGGCCGGTCCCAGTGTGGCTGCTGCTGCTCAGGGGGACTCTGACCCGGACGCTGGGGTGTCTGTTGGAACTTTGAGGAGCTGCCCTTGGAGCTCCGAGCAGGGAGGGTGCGCGCGCTTGCAGCCTGTTGGTGGAAGATCCGGGATGGCCCTGATGAGGTGGGCCTCCGGCAGCGCAGCTGGGGGCGTGCGCCCGGCACAGTGACCCTTCCGGGCCCTCCCCAAGCCCTTCCCGAAGTCCCCATGACAGCCTTCGGGCTTCAGAGCTTTCCAGTTTTGGGGAAGTGGCAGGCATCGCACTGCGTTGAATGGTGTCCCCCAAAACTCACGTCCCCCCGGAGCCTCCGAATGTGACCTTATTTGGAAGCAGGGACTTCACAGGTGTGATCACTATGGACGAGGCACACGGGAGCGGGGCTAGCGGCTAATGTCCTTTTGAGAGAAAACAGGGGCAGAGAGGGAACACGGGGAGAAGGCCGCGCGGACACAGAGCCAGAACGGGGGGGGGCATGTCTACGAGACGGGGACACTGGGACACCCAGCAGCTGCAGAAGCGGGAAGAAGCCGGGATCCTCGCCCCGAGCCTTCCGAGGGAGCGCAGCCCTGCTCACCCCGGACTGGACCTCGGGCCTGGGAAATGGGAGGGAGTGGTCTTCTGTGGATAGAAGCCCCCCCTAGCGGGCGGTCCTTGGCTACAGTGACCCCGGTACTAGCACCGGCCGCTTACACGGGTGCCCGCAGGACCCAGCGAGATGCGAGGCCATGGTGGCTTCCAGAACAGGGTCACCAGGGTAGTGGGGGAGGGTCAGCCAGCGGAAAGTGGATGTCCTGTTTTCTAGTGAGCGTGGGAAGTGCGGGCCCCGCCCACCGCAGGTGACACACCCCTCGTGTTCTCAGCGATTCTGTGTTCCTGCCCATCGTGCCGCAAAGCACGCTTTTAGGGACACCCTGGTTCATGACTTCCAGGAACGACGCTCCCCAGAACGCTATTGAGGAAACAGAAGAAAGAGCAGGGATCGCTGGCCCAGACGGTTGGTGTTGTCCAGGCTGAGGGGAGACCGAGGCCCCGAGGTCCCGCTTTCCCCCATCGCTGCCCCAGTGAGTGGGACGTGGGGGGGCCTGGCCCCAGGCCCTTCCCTCCTGCCGGGACCCCAGGTCCTCAGAACAGGCTGAGGGCAGGCCTGCGATTGCAGAAGCAGGAAATTACTTTTCATAGGATGAACTTGGGGCCAGGAAGGGGGTGGGGCTTTGTGCAGCGGAGAGCACAGCATGGGTGCCCCGCCTGTTTCCGCAGGGCCCATCCCTGCAGCGGGGCGTCCATGGGACCGGTGGGCAGTGTGGCCTCACGAGGGCATCTGAGTTGTGCCAGGCACGACTGTGGTGGCTGGCACCAGGTGCCCCCAAGCACGCGCCATCGTGGGTTACCTTCCATCCGGAAAGACCGCCGCTGCCCGGTGGGGGCTCCCTCCCGGCACCTCCGCTGGGCCCCGGACGCCCGCTCCCAGTGCCCGCAGAGCACCAGGCACCCCACGTGCTCACGCGCATCAGCACTACTCATGTCAGTGGCACAGTGAATAAAATAGTCCCCAGTGCGTCGGCAAACAGCGTGTCTCTGAAAAGCCGAATTACTGCCCCCGTGGAAGGCCGCACGGCCGTCCCTCAGAAACGGAAGCCGATTTCCGAATCGCTGCATGACCCTGTAGCTCCAGGACAGACCCCGAAGGATCTGAAAGCAGATCTTTTTTTTTTTTTTTAAGTTTACCGATTTATTTTGAAAGAGAGAGAGGACAGAATCCCAAGCAGACTCCACGCCGCTCAGTGTGGAGCCTGCCTCGGGGCTCGATCCCACAAACCGTGAGGTCATGGCCTGAGCCAAGATCAAGAGTCAGACGCTCACCCGACTGAGCCCCCAGGCGCCCTGAAAGCAGGTCTTGAAGACATACCTGTGGACGGTCCACACGTCCACCGACGGGTAGAGGGACAAACGACGTGGTCCGTCCGCACCGTGGAAAGTTATTCAGCCCTCGAAAGGGAGGAAACCCCACACCTGCTACCACATGGACGAAGCTGGAGGACATTATGCCGAGGGAGGCGTGAGCGGGACAAATCCCGTGGGCTCCGCGTGTCGGAGGGGCCCAGGGGGTCAGGGCCACGGAGACAGTAGGACGGGCCAGGGGCTGGGGGTGGAGACGTACTGTTCTGTGGGCGCAGAGTCTGTATTTTGCCGGATGAACAAGTTCTGGAGATGTGTTGCCACAACGGTGTGAATGCACCCGGCTTTACGGAATTGTACGCGGCCCATGGTTCATCAGGATGGTGACTCTTAGGAGGCTGGGTGGGTTTTTTGTTTGTTTTGCTTTGTTTCTTGTTTTTGTTTTACAATAATGAGAGAGAAACCAGGAAAAAACCCACAGACACAGAAAGCAGGAGGGGCCCGGGGGCTGCGGTGGGGGGGAGGGGCGGGCCCGTGTGTAACCAGACAGAGTCCAGTCTGGGAAGATGGACACGTCCTGGGGGTGGACGGACGGGGCGGCTGCACAACAGTGTGAATGAACTTGACCTCCTGAACTGTGCCCTCGAAAGTGCTAAGCTGTTGTGAGTCACACTGTGTGTACTTTGCTGCAATTAATAAAAAATGTCTAATTACCGGTGCACAGCCTTGCACAGCCCCCAACCCCCAGCATTCCCGATCCTTCTAGAAGCATCCGTCTTGGGAGGGGGTGTCCCTCTGGTGTCCTCCGAGGCCCCTGAGCGCCCTGCTCTTCGGCAGAAAGGCCGTGGCCTCTTCCCTCCATCTGCAGCATTCTTGTCGCAAACACCTTTCGGTTTGCACCAAAGCTCGGTGCTGGGCGCTCACGAAGCCTGGTTCTGAACGAGCCCTTGGGACACCGGGCCAGCTGCCCGCGGCCGTGGGAGCGCACACAGGCGGAGCCCACGGAGGCCCGTGGCCTTGCCGGCTTCCATAGGGGGTTTCTGTGCGGCAAGCACAGTCTTAGACCAGAGAGCAGAGCGCCACGGCCGCTTCGGGGGGCGGGGGCTGCCTGGGAGCGGCAGGTGCCCGCACAGAGACGCCCGGCACCCGCGGCACAGACGGAGCCCCCGGTGGACGGGGCGATCGAATGCCTCCACGGCCCCGGTGTGGGGACTGGCAATGCTGGGGGGGGAGCGACCCCCCAGGAGAAGAAATGGGTGAGGGGAGTCCTGAGTGCCCTGTGCAGATGCTACGGGTCAGGCCCCCCCAGGCTCAACCACGTGGACCCCCAAGGCCCGGGGGAACCTCGCTGAGCTCGGCCAAGGACAAGCAGAAACAGCACACAGGACGGTGGGGTTAAAGCGCCACAGTGTGCAGGTGGCAGAGAGGAGGCGGGGAGGCCGGAGGCCACGAGCCCCGATCAGGAAACGCCCGGAAGACAGCAGGACCCTCCACGGTCACGAAGCCCATGGGACCAGCGATCTGAGTATTGCCCGGCGACACCAGCAACCCCGACCGCTGCACGGGTGAGCCCCGCTGTGCTCGGGCGTGTTTGAGGGCGGGGTCCAAACCCCGGGGTGCCCCCCCACCCCGCGGACCCGGTCAGCCCTGTGCCGCAGCAGGACAGGGCGGGGCGGCGGGGCGGCGTCCTAGGGAGGTGTGCACCTCAGCCCGAGCCCGAGGGCAGAGCGTCACGTCTAGCGGTGGGCGCAGCGTTGGGACGAGACCGCTTCTTACCCCTGGCGTCTGCAGGGACCCTGTGACACTGGGGAGTGTGCACCGCGGCCGTTTGTAACGTCACCAGGTGGAGGGGACAACGACGTCATAGGCTCAGCTTCCGCACTAATCACACTGGTGACAGGTAACCAGCAATCCGGGCTCAAAACCAAGACCCAGCACAGGACGGGACGGGAGGGACGGGAGGGACGGGAGGGGACAGTGAAGCGAAACCTTTCAGCCAAACAGGAATGGAAGGGACTCTCCTTGACCCGACAAAGCACAGGAACCCACAGCTTAGCAAAAATCCCTCCTGCAAACGCTGCCATTCTTCTCTTTTTTCGTTTTTACATGTAACTTGTTGTCTGTCTCTATCACAGGTTTTATTTATATACTTATTTATGAGAGAGCGGGCGCGTGCTCGCACCACGAGCAGGGGAGGCGCCGGCGGAGGGAGAGAGAGGACCCCAGCAGCCGCCGCACCTTCAGCGCAGAGGCCACACCCAGGGCTCCAGCTCGTGAACGGTGAGATCATGACCGGAGCGGAAACCAGGGGTGGGGCCCTGAGCTGGCCGAGCCCCCACGTGCCCCCACCCCCCGTCCCAGGTTTTGAGCCACGTGAGTGTGCTGTGTCCTGGTGGCACTTTCTTCGTGTTTCTCTGAGTTCTGTGAGCTGGTCTGGAGCTTTCCTGGCCCCCCCTGCGCCCTGTGGCCGGTGGTCAGAGCCGCAGGCCCGACGGGGGTGGGGGTTGGGGGGTGGCTTCGCCTGGCGTCCGCAGGGGGGCGTCCGGGGATCCGGGCGTTGGGGCCCCGCTCTGTGTAAGCGGCACCGCGTGGTTCCGTTTCCCGCACTCTCACCGCTTCCCGCCCTCCCGCATCTCTTGGCCTCTCGGGGGTGCAAGCCCCCCGCCCCCCGTGCCCCCCCACCGGCTCTGAGCCTGGGTGTCTGTCTGTCCGCCCCCTTTCTGGCCCATCAGCCTTTGCCGGGGGCGTTTTGCGGCCTCGCTGTGTGTTGTGCCCGTGGGGACGGCCGTGTGTCCCGAGAGCGGGTCCCCTTGTGCTCAGGGACTGTCATCGGAGCAATTTCCTTTGCCCGAAGGTGGCTTGGTCGGGGCTGCAGTCACGGAGGTCCCCGGGGCCCGCTCGCCATCCTCTCCGTCGGGCTGTGATGCTCCTGCGTCCCGTTGCCGGTGACCCCCGGCTGCCCCCGTCACTCTGCCTCTTCTGTCGGGGACTCTGGGTCCTGTGTAAAGCATTCCCTGCAGCAGCAGCAGCAGCTCCCGGTCGACGGAGCGCGGTCCCCGCCAGTGTGATGGTCACAGCGAGCCTTTGCCCGTGTGTCCGCCGCCGGGGGGAGCTGGGGGGAGGGTGGCCGCCGTGGGGCTCCCGTGGCCCTGCCGTGGCCCTGCTGGTGCTGCCTGAGGGGCATAAGGGTTTCTCCGGCTCAAGGCCACGGCCAGGCTCCCCAGGGCAGGCTCGTCTCAGGCCCGGTTTCCTGAGGGAAGGGGAGTCCGACCCGGCGGCCGCAGTTGGAGGGGCCCCATTGGGTCTTTCTGGCCACGGGCACTGGGCCACGCTGGTGTCATGGGGGGTTTGACCTGGGTGGGCAGTGAGCCACCGTGGGCGGCCTTCTGTCCCGGGGGGGCCAGGCCTCCCCACCAGTGCACTGACAGCCCATCCCCGGGTCCCCTAGCTCTCCTTCTGCGGCAGTTCATGCTACTTCTGGGACTTGCAACTGAGTTGCTCCCTTTGCTGGCTTTCCGGTAGCCCTGGTGGTGGCCGGGGGGGTCACGGCAGCGGGGCAGGTGGTGGACCCCGCTGCGTGCAGCCGAGCTCAGGGTGCAGGAGGCCGTCCCCACCCCATCCCACGCACACTGCCGAGCTCTTTCCTTCTTCCACCTCCATTCACGGACAAGACCAGACACGCAGCAGTGAAGGGGCTTCACCCCCGCCCAGCAGGGGCCGGGCGGGCTGGCCTGCAGCCTGCACTCTTGCCCACAGCACCCACGCCTCACCGGCACGTGGCCCCGGTGACCGCTGACGCGTGTGGCGCACGGGCTCCGTGCCCGGAGCCCCCAGAAATGAGCTCACTTCCTCTCCACGCGCCCCGGGGGTGCCGGATGCCGCCACTGGTGTCTCTGGGGCTGGAACCACTGTGTCCCCTCGGATGGGGCTTTGTGTCAGGGTCAGAGCTGGGGCAGAGCCACATGGCCTGGGTCCACGTCCAGGTCCACCTGTGACCGAGCTGTGTGGCCCTGGGGGCTAGTGGCTGCTGGGACCCAGCCCTCAGAGCGGACAGGAGCAGCTGCGCGGCGAGGGTGGAAGGAAGCCCTACATCCACCACCCAGGCCGGGGCTCAGGGGGTCCCCGCACCTACAGGTTTCCTGTCCCGGGGCGGGGGCGGGTCACCTCTGCAGCGGCTCCCTGGGGGCTTGGAGCCCTAAGCGGGGAGCCCTGCTCTTGGATGCTGGTGTCTATGGCCCTGTGGCCTCCCCGCCCCAGAGCCCCAGCCCCCCAGCCCCACCGCCGGGCGGCGGGAGGTGCCAAGAGGACCCGGAGACCTTCCTCTGTCGGGAAGGGAAACCGAGCAGTTAGGGCCCCGGCTGTGCTGCCCCCTCAGCACCTACAGCTTCCACGGTCCTGTGACCAGAGACGCCACGCACGGTAAGGGGACGTGGTGTACCGCACCCCGCGGGGACCAGGCCGCCACCACCTCCCCCCACCCCCACCCCCCACCGCTCACCCCCCCCTTGTTCGCAAGGCCAGGAAAGACCCAGGCAGACTGCTCGCTGCTTCACTGCTTTATTGCTGGAGGGGGAGAGGCTGGGAGCAGGAGACCGGGGCTGGGCCCGGGGAGCCTGGGGGCTGGAGGGGCGGGTCCGGCAGGCCAGGGGCTCGGTCCCTCCTGATTTCTCCCAGGGGGCAGGAAGGGGCGACGCCGTCTCTGGGACCTGAAACAGACGAGGGCTCCCCTGTGATTCCCGGGGAGTCTGGGGGACCCTCGCCGGCCCCTCCCAGCCCAGGGGTGAGGGACGGTCTCCACCTCAAGCTGAGTGCTGGACACCCCACGCCCTTGCCCAGAGGAGGCCATGGGGACGTCCCCCTGGGGACTTGACATCAGAAAGGCCATTCGAGAGGGCGGACACGCAGCCAGCCCGGCCCCCACGGTCAGCGGGAGGCAAGCCAGGTCCCAGCTGTTCCCGCAGAGGGGCCCGACGGAGGGGAGCTGGGGTCCCCGGGACGCCCCCCACCCGTGCACGTGCCCAGGACGTGGGGGCAGGGCTGCTACATTACCCCAGGCGGGTACGGGTCGGGCAGGAGCTCATCTAGACGCGGCACTGCTCTGTGGGTGGAGGGGGGGAGAGGTCACAGGTCGCCAGGGCAGCCCTGGGCCCAGAGGGGGGTGGGGGGGACCCCACCTCACGGGCTCTGCACCCCCACCCCCGGAGGCCTGGGGCATGGGGGCCACTGTGGGAGACAGACGTGTCCAGGGCTCCTGGCTGTCTGACAGGTGAGCCTCACACAGGATGAAAGCAGGGGTGCGGGGTGTGGAGGTGATCACCTTCCACCTGGGTCGGGTCGAAGAAGAGCCGGATGTGCACGGGCAGAGTCTGGAGGACCTTGTTGAATTTCTCCATGACCTGGTTGTCCGCCTTCAGGGTCCTGGCTGTGGGGGGTGTGGGGGGGGGTCAGTCCCTGGGCCTCGGGGCTTTGTTGACCCTGGGGAGCCCCGACAAGGGAGCGAGTGCAGGAAGGACACACTGGCGTCCTGAGGTCAGCTCCCAGGGTGGCCTCCAGGGCTCAGCCCACCTGCCCTCCGGGGTCCCGGCCCCTCCCCCTGGTCCAGGCTCAGGACAGCACTGGGGGCTCTGCAGGGACACAGGACGGGAGGGCCCGCCGTCCCCGGGTCGTCAGGTTTCTTACAGCATCAGGCTGCTGGCTCGTGGGCGGGGGGGTCCCTGCTGGCCCAGCGCCCACGCCCCTCGGAGCCCCTCTCTCAGAACAATGGTAGTGTTCCCGGTGCCGGTGTAGGCTCCCGATAGACTCCACATCAGATCGCACCCCAGGACCTTTGCTAACGTGAGCCACGGAGGCCGGGAGGCAGCCCTCCTTCCTTCCTCCCACTGGGGCCACGGGGTGCCTGAGAGCCACGTCCTGGAGGGTGGCCCTGCGGCGGCTACGCACCCAGGTACTGGCACACCATGCCACTCTCAGCGCCGGGCGCTGGGGCCTCCATGCAGAAAAACATGTAGTGGGTGTAGTCAGTGTCCAGCACGGTAATCTTTCTTTCCCCCTGGTCTGGAGAAGAGGCGGAACAGAGACCTGAGACCTGGCCCACGACCCCCCTGGCGACCTCGGGCCTCCCCTTCACCTGCCGTTCATTTCCACCGTTCATTTCCACCGCTGCTGCCAAGGGCCCACACCTGGCAGGGACCCCCGGGGGCTCTGCGGGCGGCACTGGCGGCCCCAGACCAGCCCCGCCTGCACTTGGGCCCAGGCCGCAGGCAGTTCTTTCAAAACGTCCGTGCTCCAGGATGCCCTCTGGGATTTACACCCTGCTGGGCCCGGGGCTCGCCCCCCACGTTCTGGCTATGCCCTTTATCCTTTCAGATTTTGTCCACACGCTCAGGCGCTAAGAGCCAGGTGCCCCCCCCCCGCCCCCCCGTGACAGGTGCCCAGGTCCTGTGAGCGGCGACAAAATAATCCAGGACCGGAGCCCCACTGGAGGTGCGCTCTGCGTGGACATCAACGGGCAGAAGGAAATGGAGAATTATTGTGGGAGGTGGGGCCGTGTTGTTTGTTCTTCAGAGGTGGGGAGCCCGTGGGAGCGGGTGGGGACCCCACGTCCGTGGGGTGTGGGCCTATCCGGCTCGGAGCAGGACATCGGTGGGTGGGCAAGCAGAGTCCCTGCCCGGCACCGCCCAGCTGTTTGGAGGCTCCCGCCACCTTCCCGGGACAACCAGGGACCCTGCAGCTGAGCCTGCTTGTAGCTCAAGAACCGGAGAGGCTTGTGGGGGGGCCTCGGGGGCGTCCCTGGTGGCAGCGGAGGGCTGGAGCCTGTGGGTGGGCCCAGGGCCCGTGCCAGATGAGCCCAAGGGCAGGGTGCCTCTACTTTAGGCCCAGGAGACAGGGCTCGTGGGGTGCAGCAGAAAGGCTGGAGACGAGGCAAGGCCCAGAATGTTCCAGAAGCAGGTTTCAGGATTGAGAGGCGAATTCACAGGGTGTTTGTCACCGATCTGGTTTATTTGGGTATTTTCAAGGAGACACAGGCGCTGGTCCCTGAGCAGGGAAGTTGCCACAGGCCTGCCCTCAGACAGTACCTGCTCTGACTCGCCCCTGCACGGCATCCCCTCTGACCTGCACCTGAATGGGACTCGCTTACACCCGCACCTGCCCGACACCTGCTCAGACCCACCCCTGCACGGTTTGCAGGGAACCGGGTGCTACTTTGCTGTCTTTCTAGCCGAGCAGGGAGCCAAGGGTCCAGGAGGAGACTAAGCCCCAGAGAGGGGTGGGGTCCCCAGGCCTCATTCTCCACCTCCCCACCCCAGAGTGCCCTGTATCACACCCAGTGTGATACAGGGCAGGAGCACACCCAGTGTGATACAGGGTAGGAGAAGCCGGGCCTGGTGTGATGGGTCACACCATCTGACTCTTTCCTGCGGCCGGGACGTGGCGGGGGGGGGGGTTCTCAGAGAAGGAAGGGGCACTCTGTCCACAGGTGCCCAAGGGGACCGACGGGGGGTGGCCCTTTAGGCACGGGTGGGGCACTTACAGTTGACCATGAACACTGCTGGGTCCTCAGTCTTCTGGGCCATGATGCTCCCCTCGATGCATGCCTGGTTTTCCCTGAAAAGCCAGAGTGGTGGGGGTCATCCCTGAACCCCAGGTGGGGACAGGAGCTGGGGTCCAGGAAGCGTCCACAGGCCCCGAGGACACCCAGCCCTCAGCCAACTGTGAGCAATGCCATGAGGTGCTGGGCCAAATGTGAGTGGCCTGTGGCCCTGAGCAGGTGACTCAGGCAAGTTGACAATAGGGTACATGAAGCCAGCCTAGAAACCTGCAGGATGGAGGGCGGGGTCCAATTCAGAACTGACCCGTCCGTGGGGGGCTCGGTCACAGCACCTCTAAGAATCTTATCACCGATCTCACTGAGAATTCCTCAAGCTCCTGACCTCCTCTCACCCCCTCTCATGGTGGATCAGGCTCGTGGCAGGAACCATCCAGGCCCCCAGGGCCCCAGCCCCAGCTGACCGGCCTCCACGGGCCTCTCTGTGCACTAACCCACGGCTGCCCTATGTGGTCTGCCCGTCGGCCCAGAGCCCCGGGCGGGGCCCCAAGGCCACAAGGACCCAGCTCCCATCAGGACCTCGCTCACCCTCCCAGGCCCTCGCCGGCCCCCAGCCCGGGGGAGGGACACCCACCGTTTGTGCAGAATGATCTCCAGGTTGCCCTGGGGGGTGGGTCTCAGCTCCTGGACGTACACTCTCAGAGGCGCGATCTCCGAGTCCAGGAGGGAGATGTCGCTGGCCGCCATGGCCACAGAGTGCCACGTCCCGGCCACCTGGGGGGGAGGGGCCCGGGCTGCCATGGGGGGGCGGGGAGGCGGCCCCCCCGCTTCAGTGGCCTCTCCCTCCAACCCACCTGCTGGTTTGCCCCCTACACACTGTGGTTTCTCAGGTGGGGTCGAGAGCGTGGAGTGTCAGGACCCAGGACATTTTGAGGACCTCCTCCCGTGTGCCTACACCCTGGGGGGGTTCTTGAGTATTTGTAACAACTGCCCTCTGCCCCCAGCGCTGGCCGGGGCGCGTTCCCGTTCGGGTGCGACTGTGTCAAGGGCAACTCAGTCCTGGGAGGGAGAGGGAGACAGGAGGGTGGCTGGAGCCAGCATTCGGGGGGACAAGGGCCTCTCTTAGCTCTATGCCTTGCTCTGTCCTCCCTTAGATTTCTGCAGTCAGGCCTTCCTGACCCCTGCCGCTGCCTGCACCCCACACGCCCGTACCTGTCTTATATCCAGGTCCACCGCGGTCTGGGGGACGGTGGCGGCCCGGACGCCACACACGAGGGCCAGACCCAGGGCGAGCAGGAGGCACTGCATGGCTGCGGCTGTGGTTGCACTGAGCTCCCGGGGTGAGGAAGGCCGGGCCGCGGGCTCAGGCCCTTATATGGGGGCCGGGGGCCTACAAGTCAGCGCCTCTGGGACCCCAGCCATCCGGTTCCCCGAATGCCCCGTGGCTCATCCTCAGGGCCTGGAGGACATCATCTTCCAGGACAGCCTGAGGCCCTCTTTCGGTGCCGCTGACTCCCCCTGCCCCACCCCAGTCCAAACAGGAAGGTCCCTGTGTCCCTGAGGCCTGGACACGTCCTGGTGGCCCCGGAAGGGTAGTTCTGGGGCGTGGGTCCAGGCTGGTGGCCAGCATCAGGAGCACGTCCCAGGTCGCAGTCTCGGGCAACAACAGGTCAGAGTCAGCACTGAGGACAGCTGTGTCCCGGAGGGTGGGCCCTGGGCTCAGCCAGCGGCCAGAGGGCCCCATGCCGGCCCCGGGGTCCGTAGACATGGTGCCCGTGGGTGGTAGACTGTCCAGCACAAGAGGCCCACCCTGTCACACTCCTGGTCGCGCCCCTGTGTGATGCCCGGTTCACACAGTTGTTCTGAGCTGGTGCTCTTGGACCAGACAAGGCCTTGTGCCCTGTTGTGCCGCATGAGGACCCCACTTTCTCCTGCGTGGCCACCCGTGCGCACAGCTCATCATTCTGGGGGCAAAGGCTGTGGTCTCAGATGTTTGGGCAGGCCAGTGGCATGCAGAGTACACAGAGGACTCTTCCGAGGCGCTGGCCCCTTCCCAAGGCCACCCCTCAGGCAGGTTGTAGGTGCCCCCAAAGCACAGGCAGCCAGCTCACCTCCACTCCCTTGGCGGGTCTAGGGGTGGGGTGCAGGCTGTAGTAGGAGCAGGAATGCAGGTAGGCAGAGAGGGGGGCTCGGGTCTCCGGGCCCACGTGGATGAGCACATGGCCAGCAAGTGGACCAGCTCCAAAAGGGAGGTGGACATGCAGACGTGGAGGGCAGGGAGGGGCAGGGACCTGGGACTCGGCACTCTTTCTGACCTTGCTTTGGCTGTCTACGTAAGTAATACAATATCTGAGTCTAAAGAGGGCTCATTGATTCTTTACTAGCTGAAGCTGTCAGCCTTACTTGACATGTAAGTCTGTCATGTCACCAATAACACCATTTAATCCATATGTGCGTAGCAGAAACAATTGTTTTTGCATTTTGAAAGTTACCTGTACTCTACATGGGAAACCTCTGCAGTATTCATCCAAGGGTTGACCGTTTAAGGGGCTCTACTGAGGTAGTGTTGAGATAGCAAAGACTGCGAAAACAGGGCACACAGCATTAATGATGTTTGAAAAAGGAGTGACAGATGTTGAATGGATGGATGGATGGACAGGTAGAGAGATGGATGGATGGATGGATGGATGGATGGATGGTAGACAGATCATGGATGGATTATAGATAGATGGGTGGATAGGAGATGGAGGAATGGATGATGGATGGATGGATGATGGATGGATGGATGGATGGATGGATGGATGGATGGTGGTAGATGGATGGATGGATGTTAGATGGATGTAGATGAATGGATGGATTGATGGTAGTAGATGGATGGATGATGATAGATGATTAGTGGGAGAGATGGTGGATGGATGGATGACGGTGGATGGATGGGTGGATGGCAGATGGATAGTTGGATGGTAGATGGATGGATGCACAATAGATGAATGAATGGATGGTAGATGGATGGTGGATGGATAGATGGTTGATAGATGGATGGATGGATAGTAGATGGATGGTGGTAGGTGGATAGATGGATGGTAGAAAACCTGATGAGTGGCTTCCTTAACTCATATTGGATAGGCCATTGAGCTTCTCATTCTCATAATCCCTTCAGCTTTCCAAGGTGCTTTCATGTCCTTTGTCACTTTTGACCCCTCCCAATCAGCTTCCTATACAGATGTCAAGAATCCAATGTGCCAAGTACCTGACCTATATTTACCCACAGTGAGTGGCCAAGTGTGGCCTGGAGTCCGGGCTGTTGAGGTCAGCCGGAAGCAGGTTCTGGAACAAACATCACTTCCGGCTAGCAGGGCCCTCCTAGACCCAGTGTGGGGCCATCCTCCTGAACCCAGGGTGAGCCCAACACCCACCAGAGTCCTCAGGCACTTCCTCATAATGGATCTTTGTGTCTCACTGGCTCAGGTTTTGGCTCCATCTGAGACTTCCCAGGAACCCTGAGCGCCAGCTAGATCTGATCATTAAGCACCAATTCCATCTCTGGGCTGCAAGTGGTAATTAGGGCTTTCAGGTGGTGCTGATCAATATTTACAAGGAGAGAGTCAAAGTAGGGCTGAGAATCCTGAACTGGTCCCTGTTATTCCCCAGGCTTTCTCCACCCACCCAGATATGCTTGGGACCCAGAAGACAAACCAGGTGACACTTCAGCTCATGTTTTAGAATGTTCGAAATTCTTGTTTTCCCCTCCAAAATTGGATTATGAGCTAGATCAGCCTATGGCTCTTTTTAAAGCAAGAACATGGGGATTACAGGGTGACTCTTGAGTTAAAGAGAAAATTACAGAATATTTAGAAAATAAAAATGAACACGTGGCACATCAGATCCTGAGGGATCCAGCAAAATCCATTGTCCTACAGATAATGTTAATAAATAAAAAGAATGGGGGCACCTGGGGGGCTCAGTTGGTTAAGCGTCCGACTTCGGCTCAGGTCATGATTTCACGTTTCGTGGGTTTGAGCCCCGCATCGGCTCTGTGCTGACAGCTCAGAGCCTGCAGCCTGCTTTGGATTCTGTGTCTTCCTATGTCTCTGACCCTCCCCTGCTCACACTGTCTCTCAGAAATTTAAAAAAAAAAAAAAAACACTAAAAAACGTTTTTAAATAAATAAAATGGATGGAAAGGAATTGATTAGCTATACTACTCAAAAATTGGGGGGGGACAACATAACCATAATAAAGGATAAGGAAGGTAATATTTATATTTCTGCAAATATAAAAGCAGAAATTACTGAATTAGCAAATAGAAAACAGGAGAGGGGGTGTCTGAGTGGCTCAGTCAGTTAAGTGTCCAACTTTGGCTCAGGCCATGCTCTCACGGTTCATGAGTTCAAGCCCCACGTCAAGCTCTGTGCTGGCAGCTCAGAGCCTGCTTGGGATTCTCTCTCTCCCCCTCTCTGGCCTTCCCCCACTTGCACTCTTTCTCTCTCTCTCTCAATAAAAAATAAAAAATAAATAAACTTAAAGAAAATAGAAAAAGCAAATACTTGGTCAAGTGGTGGTTCTTGAGAAAAATCAATAAAATAGGGACGCCTTTAGGTGTCCTAATCAAGATAAAAAGGAGAAAGAAAAAATACATCAAATATAGGGAAATAACCACAAAAGGAGAAAAAAGTAGAGGACCATTAGAAGGGAGATGTTTACGTAAGCTCATGGAATAAGTGAAAAGTTGGATGAAACAGACAACTTTCTAGAAAACTGTTGGTTGCCAGAGGAGAGGGGGCCATGCACAAAGTGCGCGGAGGGCAGCGGGGGGTCCGGGCTCCCGGCTACGCAATGAGTAAGGCACGGGGATGAAAGGGGAGGCACGGGGCACAGGCAGCGATGCGGCGACGGCGTGTATGGTGGGGGGTGGGCCGCACCTGCGGTGAGCACAGCACAGTGTGCGGAGATGCTCAGTCATGGTGCTGTGAGCCTGAACCTTATGCAATGTCGTGGCTCAGCTGTGCCTCGAAACCCAAACAAACAGAACAAAACCCCTGGGGTTCAGGCGCATAAACAGCCCGGTAGAATGGACAAGAAGCCTCTGAAGAGACCTAAGCACACACGCGGATCACGAATGTGGGAAAACTCCGTGCTTAATAGATGGTTTCAGCAGCACAGGGTGGATATTTGGAAAACACTGTTCGAGTCGTAGCTCATGCATTAAAGCAAAGGAATTCCTGATAGAGCAAAAGATAAAATACGGAACATTCAGGAACTCAACTTTAGAAAACGAGGGGCCTCTGCAACAGCAGCCAGAAGCCAAGAAGGGAAACGCAGGTGAATTGAACCACAGAGAGGAAACACATTGAAATGACACCACCAGCCAAGCAAGAAGAGAAAGGATAAACTGAGCAAAATTACTTTTAATTGATAGCGCAAATAAAATCCGATTTCCTTAATATATAAAGAGCTCCTACAAATCAATACAGAAACACCAAGAATTCAACAGATAAAGGATATGATTTGATCCTTCACAGAAAAGGATTTTGAATTAAGTAAAAGCAAGAACAAAATCTGTTAGAATACGTGGACGCCGCTCAGGCAGCACTTTGAAGGGAATTTGTGGCATTGAAGCTTATTATTAGGCCCTGCAACATGCTCAATTTAAAAACCTAAGTCTGCAGCTTAAGTACCTAGGAGAACAAGTAGAAACCAACGTAAGCAAAAGAAATGATGTAATAGCAAAAGTTGATGACATGGAAAATAGAAAACCAATATAGAAAATCAACCAAAATCAGGCTTGACCTTTGAAAAGATCTGGAAAATGGATAAACCTCTAGCCAGACTAATCAGGAAAACCCAGATTGTTGGCATATGTCGCTATTAGGGATGAAGAATGGGACACCAGCACGGATCCTAATAACAAGGGAACATTTTGAGTGACTTTATGGAAATAATTTCGATGACTCGGACAAATGCGTAAATTCCTGAAGGATGAAAAGTACAAAGCTTACTAAAGCAGTGGATAGCCAGAATCGACGCAGATCTATTGCAGAAATTGAATTTATAGACAAAAATCTCCCCCACCATCAACATCTCAAACCCCAGCTGGCTTCACTGCTACATTCTACCAAACAGTTTAGAAGGCAGGAACACAGGTCTTGAGAATCTCTTCCAGAAACCGCAAGCCGAAGGGTGACTCCGCAGCTCGGTTATGAGGCTCACGCCACGCGGATTCCAGTTGGCCACGTGACATTGACTGAAGACGACTTAGGTCTCCTTCGAATTGAAATGCCACTCGTACCTTTCATTTTCTTCACAAAC